AGGATCTCACTCTGTCACCCAGGCTGGAGTGCAGTGACATAAACATGGCTCACTGCAGCCTTGACCTCCTGGGTTCAAGTGATCCTCCTGCCTCAGTCCCCTGTGTAGCCCCCGTGTGACCACAGGTGCCCATTCCCAAACCCAGATAATTTTTTGATTTCTTGTAGAGTCAGTCTCACTTTGTTGCCCAGGCTGGTCTCAAACTTGTGGTCTCAAGCAATCCTCCTGCTTCTGCCTCCCTAAGTGCTGATATTACAGGCTGAGCTGCCATACCCAGCTGATCTCACCTCTTACCAGGCCTCTGCTCCAGTCATACTATTCTCTCTTTTTTTGAGACAGAGTCTTGCTCTGTCACCCAGGCTGGAGTGCACTGGCATAATATCGGCTCACTGCAACCTTCACCTCCCAGGTCCAGGAGATTCTCCTGCCTCAACCTCCTGGGACTATAGGTGTGCACCATGATGCCCAGTTAATTTTTTGTATTTTTAGTAGAGATGGGATTTCACCATGTTGTCCAGGCTGGTCTCAAACTCCAGACCTCAAGTGATATGCCTCCCAAAGTGCTAGGATTATAGGCATGAGCCACCGTGCCTGGCCAGTCATACTATTCTCTATGCACGCTAGTCACACCCATGTCTTGACTCAGTTTACACCTTTTCAACCATCAGGTTTTAAATATCACTTCCTCCCAGAAGTTCCTCCCTCCTCACAAGCCATACTTATTAATATCTTAAGAAATCTCACAATTTAATTCACTGTCTATTTCTTCTGTTCTATTAAGAACAGGAAGTAAGTCTGGTTCATTATTGTATTCCTGGCATCTTGCACTGGTGCCTGATGAATGCATTTTGTACAAATAAATAATAGGAATGTCCTCATCTGTAACAGTTTCCTATTAGTCTATGGCACAGACTGTATATACTGGAACTTTCTTTTGTTCTGGTTCAAGGAAAGGATACACATGCCCTGTCTCTTCTCTGTCCTTAATAACCTATAACTCTCATCCTGGACAACAAAGTAAGCCTCCATCTCTACAAAAATTTTTTAAATTAACTGGACATAGAAGTGCATGCCTGTTGTCCCAGGTACTCAGGGGGCTGAGATGGGAGGATCGCTTGAACCAGGGAAGTCAAGGCTGCAGTGAGCTGTGATCATGCCACTGCATTCCAACCTGGGTGACAGAGTAACACCCTGTCTCAAAAAAAAAAAAAAAAAAAAAAAAAAAAAAAAAAAAAAAGCCTGTAACTCAGATACTGGGTCTGACAACAAGTATATCAGAACTTAGAGATGTGCTTCTCCTGGGCACAGAGATTCCAATCTACAGCAGAACAAAGTGGTGATTAAGAGCTCTAGCTTTTGTGTCAAACACCCTTGAGTTAGAATCCCAGCTCTACTCTTTACTAGTTGTGTCACTATGGGCAATCTGCTTGAGCCTCAGTTTCTTACCTGCATGGAGTAAGTGCAGTTAAGTCAGAGATATGTTGAAGAGACTTTATGACGTAATATATGTAAATCCCTTAGCTCTGGGACCTACTAAGTTTACACAGCTCCTCAGTGCCTTTTACCAAAGAAAAGTATAGGGGAGAGCTAATACGCTTTCTTTGCTCCTTTTCTGTTCTTTTGTGGTTTCTACTAAGCCCACCACAACCATGCCTAGTCCCTGACAAGGAAAATACCAGAAAATGGCTTTCTGACAGAGGTCCCACTGCCCCAGATGGAAAGTAAGGAAGGTTGAGATACCTCCAAATGCCATGCTTTCAAGGAGAAAAACACCTTCTAGACTGATCCTAGCTACATATAAAACACCTCGCTTTAAAATCCTTCCACCAAGAAAGAGCACTACGGAGCCGCTTACAGCCTTTCCCCTAGCTTGTCCAGGACGATGTCACCAGCCGCCAGCTGCTTACGCCTCAGTCGCTCTTTTAAGTCTGGGAAGGCCCGAAGCGCCGGCACATCCTCAAACCTCAGGTTCTGTGTGGCCTGCAGCTGCTCCGCCAGGTTGCTGAGGGAGACCAGGAGGGGCTGGCAGTCTAGCAGGGCGCTCTGCCACAGGCTCTGCTGCTCCTCCACCACGGGGAAGCACTTCTTCAGGGCCTCCTGCACAGCAAGCAGAGGCCGGTCTTGAGTCATCTTCTGTTGAAAAAGATAAAAACATAAAGAAAATAACCATGTAGGGGTGCCAAGTCAGTCGGGGAGGCACTGGGTCGAAGGTGGGCGGTCATCTCCATCCTCGTGTTTGGATAGGAGTTGTCTCACCTCCAGAAGTGGCTTCTTTTCTTTTTTTAGATGGAGTCTCACGCAGTGGCGCGATCTCGGCTCACTGCAACCTCCACCTTCCAAGTTCAAGCGATTCTCTTGCCTCAGCCTTCCCAGTAGCTGGGATTACAGGTGCCTGCCACCACGCCCAGCTAATTTTTGTATTTTTAGTAGAGACGAGGTTTCGCCATGTTGGCCAGACTGGTCTTGAACTCCTGATTCGCCCGCCTCTGCCTCCCAAAGTGCTGGGATTACAGGCGTGAGCCACCGCGTCAGGCCCTGCCTCAGCTTTGTGAAGGAGATCCTGGCTTTACCTCGGGAAGGATGACCTGGATAGGGCAGTCTCCTGCTACAGAGAATTCCCGGCATCCAAGCGCCGTCTATTCTCTGAGCCAGAGGCCAGTCTCCCCTGCCCGAGGCTGCCGGTCGCCTTCCTGAAACCAGCAGAGACAGCCAAAGTGTGAGAACCCTCCAGACCTGCACACGAACCCGTAGTCTGTCTGCGTGTGCTCAAATGTGACCACCCCTCAAAGCTCCTCTAGCTTGCAGGGCTACTGAGTCGCGAAAATATATCGTTGTGCCGCAATGACTTCTGGGTACTGTAGTCCCACATGTGGATTGGCCACTCGGCTTGAAGCTTCCTTGGGATGTTGCAGCCGTCCCAACACGGCAACTTCTTATTTGTCAGTCTGCGGCAGTTTAAATTGGTGGCGGTGTTGCCACGTCCTGTTAGCTGGGAGTCTCTTCCTCTCAGCTTGCGTCTCCGGCTATGCCTTAATGACACATTTTACAATGTTTGTGGCACAGCCAACTGGCAAAAACTAGTGAATCAGGGGTTCCTGACGTGGCAGCTCTAGCTAAGATGCAGGGGGACGTCCTAGGTGCCCAGGGAAGTCGGGCGCATTGGGGAGTGGGGTGAAAGAAGCCCTGAAACCAAGAGGCTGGAAGCCCGACTTGCCCAGCATAAAAATACCTGCTGGGGGGAGCCTGCATTAGGTACCGGTTGTCATCACCTCTCATCTTGGCCATCTGCCTGATGAAGATCCTCAGGCACCCAGCAGACGGGTGTCACCCCCATCACCCACTGCCCAGGGCTGACCTCGGGCGGAAGAGCTACATTCAAATACTTCTTGCATATGGAGCAACAGGACAGGCTGGAAGGGAGAGAAAGGACTCTCCAGGAAGGGCCAGGCTTGCCAGGGCTTCTATGCTCGACCTGCTGTGCCCCCAAGCTTGCTGGTGCCTATCAGGAGCCTGCTTGGCACCTTTGCTTATTTCCTCGATTGTTCCTGAGCTCAGAGGGGGAGAGGCAAGATTATCACCCCTACAGTCTATAAAATGCACACTTAAACACAAACACAACCCCTCTGACATGGCTTCAGACCGCATCCACAGGTGAAAAGCACCAAATCCAAACAATCATACCACAAACTCGTCAAGAGCTCACCAGTCTGGCCGTCTGGTCGCCGTCCGCCTTGAGACTCAGCCTGAGCTATCGCTCTGATCCCTGGAGACTTAAAGACTAGCCTCTAGCCTTGCTGGGCCTCAGCACAACCCCTGAGCAATCCAACCCTGTGGCTGTGGACAGATGTCAAGATGCACAGTTAGCACCTCCGACTGGACCGCGGCTCGGCGGGGCTCGCCGTCTACACGCCCATTCCCAGGCCTCCTGCCTTGGGCTCCCTGTTGTCTGGCGACCGCTGCTCCTGCTGCAGTCATCGTATGGCCAGCTGCCAAGCGCCACCACCTGCGCCTTAAGTCGCGACCCCGCACTGCGCACCCAGTCGAGGCGCCAGGATGAGAACTGGGCAGGAGGGGCCAGCCCGCGGGCGAGCGAGGAACGAGAGGGTTCCCCCACTCGCTGCCCAGACTGGCCGCGCGCTGGCGCCGCCCACCCCAAAGCCTGCACCCCACCCCCTTCCAAACTCTGCTGGGTGGGGCTGCTCTGTCCCCACCGACCCTCCACTTGCCCGACGTTTCCTCCACTTGTCTTAAGTTCGGCCTGGGGAGCTTTGGACCCTGAGGAGCGCCGAGGTAGGCAGCCAGCCAGTGAGTAGTCAATCAGTGGGTCACGGCGGCCCTCGGCTACTCAGTGGCAACCAGGCCAGAAAGAAGCAGCCTCCCAAAGTGCTCGGATTCCCAGCGTCCAAGTGGGCCCCCGGCGTCCTAGTCGGCCCCCAGCACTCCAGAGCTTACAATGCCGGGTTGCCGCCGCAAGGCCTGTCGGGAGTAGTAGTTTATATCGTTTGCAGCTGGCCAGGGCGGAGCCGGGTGAGAGGTGGAGAGGGCGGGGAAACAATCTTGAACCACAACTCCCAGGAGAACCCGCGACGGCGGCGGCCGCGCTGGCGTACTCAGGCTGTAGAGGGCGAATTGGGCGGGAGACCCCGGGCCAGCAGGAACTTGCTTGTGATTGGATGTTGTGGGACGGCGGCTTCTCATTCGTCAGTCTGTGGCCGTGGAGTTTGAACTGGGTGGCGGTTGGCGGTAGAGCCGCTCTCTCTCACTCGCACAGGGAGGTTTTGCTTAGCCCTTGTCTCGGGACCGCAGGTACGTGCCTGGCGACTTCTTCGGGTGGTATTTGTCCGCCTTTCTCGTGCCTACCCGGTTCCTTGCCTCCCTGCCCCATCTCCGCCGCTTCCCGTAGCCTCCGCCGAGCGCCATGGCTCCTAGGAAGGGCAGCAGTCGAGTGGCCAAAACCAACTCCTTACGGAAGCGGAAGCTCGCCTCCTTTCTGAAAGACTTCGACCGTGAAGGTAAGGGGCCGGGCCGTCGCGGCTTCCTGGGGCGGTCGCGGGATGCTGGTGGGTGGGGACACGAGCAGCACGTATTCACCCGCCCCGTGACCCGTGTCCCGTTGGCTCTGCCCTCCCGCAGTGGAAATACGAATCAAGCAGATTGAGTCAGACAGGCAGAACCTCCTCAAGGAGGTGGATAACCTCTACAACATCGAGATCCTGCGACTCCCCAAGGCGCTGCGCGAGATGAACTGGCTCGACTACTTCGGTAAGAGCTGGAACGCTTCCCTGGGCGGAGGCCTGGAGCCCCTTGGGGTTAGGTGACACCCTTCAGAAAGGGCTCGCTCAGATGTCACCTTTTAATGAGATCTGACATGACCACTTATGGAAAATGGCAGACCTACTGCTCCCTTTCACTCTGTCTCACTTTCCTACTTCGTTTTTCTCCATGCTTTTCTCTAAAGGTCTAGCTAGCAAATATTTTAGTCCACTAGTGCGGGGGGCGGTGGGGGTCTCTGTCGGACTACTCAACTCTGTGATACAGTTCCAAAACAGCTGTAGGGAATGGGCATGGATGGGCTGTATTGCAATAAAATTTTAGTTATGGATACACTGAAATGTGAATTTCGCATAATTTTTCCACATCAGGAAATAGTATTTTTATTTATTTATTTATTTTTTAGACAGAGCCTCAGTCTGTCACCCAGGCTGGAGTGCAGTGCAGTGGCGTGATATTGGCTCACTGCAACCTCCACCTCCTGGGTTCAAGTACAGCCTTCACCTTCTGGGTTCAAGTGATTCCCCTGCTTCCTGCCTCAGCCTCCGGAGTAGCTGGGATTACTGGCGCCCGCCACCACACCCGGTTGATTTTTGTACTTTCAGTAGAAACGGAGTTTCATCGTGTTGGCCAGACTGGTCTTGAACTCCCGACCTCAAGCCTGCCTCCGCCTCCCAAAGTGTGGGATTACAGGCGTCAGCCACTGCCCGGCCAGGAAATAGTATTTTTTAAAATATACGTGTATTTTGGCCGGACGCGGGGTTGAGGGGTGTGGCTCACGCCTGTAATCTCAGCACTTTGGGAGGCCGAGGTGGGCGGATCACAAGGTCAGCAGTTCAGGACCAGCCTAGCCAATGCGATGAAACCCTGTCTCTACTAAAGAATACAAAAATTAGCTGGGCGTGGTGGCGGGTGGCTGTAGTCCCAGCTACTCAGAAGGCTGAGGCAGGAGTATCTCTTGAACCCGGGAGGCGGAGGTTGCGGTGAGCCGAGATCACTCCACTGCACTCCAGCCTGGGTGACACAGCAAGACTCTTGTCTCAAAAAAAATTAAAACAAAAACCATAAAAATATATGTATATTTTCCCTTTCCCATGTAACAATGAATAAATGATAGTTAACCAGAGCTCAGATAGAATAACCCAAAGCAGCTCCTTCTGCAGCTTATGGAAATTGCTACCTTAAAAATGGACACATCAGTTTTCCTGGCCAGAGAAAAATCACAGCCTGTTTCCCCCCTCCCTTATTAAATGTCCAGGGAAATGCAGGAGGCTGGACTTTCTGCTGGATTGCCTTTTCTTTTTCTCTTTTCCTTATTATTAATTACCCAGCATGTAGTCTCCTTCTTGGTTAGAAATGCATGTTCTGCTCACATATTTGACATTTAATGATCCTTTTGACTTGCCCTTTTATTTATTAATATTAAGCCATTCATTTGCTCATTTCCACAAATATTGAGTATGTGTCAGTCACAGTGCTAGGTGCTAAAGATGCACTGGGGAATAACACAGACCGTGTCTCCGACTTCAGGAATATGCAGGTTAGTAGAAAAGAGCTATTAGAAAAATCCACATGCAATTATCTAATTAAGTATAGGTACTACAAAGGAGATAGAATAGAGTCGTGGTCAGTGAGCCTATTTATATTGTGCTTCCTATGCCAGATGGGCATTGTACCAAATGTTTTATATACATTGACGAATTTTTCTTCTTAACTAATAATATTTGTTTTTCTTTTCTTTTCTTTTTTTTTTTTTGAGACAGAGTTTCGCTCTCGTTACCCAGGCTGGAGTGCAATGGCACGATCTCGGCTCACCGCAACCTCCGCCTCCTGGGTTCAGGCAATTCTCCTGCCTCAGCCTCCTGAGTAGCTGGGACTACAGGCACGCGCCACCATGCCCAGCTAATTTTTTTGTAGTTTTAATAGAGACGGGGTTTCACCATGTTGACCAGGATGGTCTCGATCTCTTGACCTCGTGATCCACCCGCCTCGGCCTCCCAAAGTGCTGGGATTACAGGCTTGAGCCACCGCGCCCGGCCTTCTTTTTTTTTTTTTAAAGATGGGGTTTCACCATGATGGCCAGGCTGGTCTTAAACTCCTGACCTCAGGTGATCCACCCACCTCAGCCTCCCAAAATGCTAGGATTGCAGGAGTGAGCCACCGCGCCCAGATTTAATATTTCTGTTTTTCAAAACAGTAAGATTAAGGTACAGAGAAATTGGATACTTTGCTCAGGGCCTTATAAGCTAGTTAGTGGCATAGTCTCTTTGAACCCGGGTATTCTGGTTTCATTGCCTAAGATCTTAACTGTTTTATAAGATACTATGAGGGTTTCTAGCAGGAGGATCTAAGCTAACTTTTTATTCTACATGTAAATCTCACAAAGACCTTTTCATTCGACACGTTTACTATACAGCTGTTGTCTGCTAGATTTTTGCAAGAAGCAAAGGATATCATCTCTGGAATTCAGTCCAAGGCAGAGATGGACATTTAAATAGCTTTGAGTAGTTGTTGGGTATTATGAGGGTCAGCAACTAATACCACACTTTGCAGCAGCCTGTGAGATCGAAAAATAAGCAGGCTGGGTGCAATGGCTCATGCCTATAATCCCAGCATTTTGGGAGGCCGAGACAGGTGGATTGCTTGAGTCCAGGAATTTGAGACCAGCCTGCACAATATAGTAAGACCCTATCTTTAAACTTAAAAAAATAATAAAAATTTTAATGAGTTCCTAGCGAAAGGAAAACAAGAAAAAAATTTTAAAAAAGAAAAATAAGCAGGGAACAGGGCCTGGGGTGGGCGTTCATGCCTATAATCCTAGTACTTTGGGAGGCCGAAGCAGGAGTATCACTTGAGCCCAGGAGTTCAAAGCCAGCCTGGGCAACATAGCAAGAGACTACATCTCTAGTTTAAAAAAAAAAAAAAAGCCTAGACAACTTGGCGATACCCTGTCTCTACAAAAAAATGCAAAAACTAGCCAAATGTGGGGGCACATGCCTGTAGTCCCAGCTACTTGGGAGGCTGAGGTGGGAGGATCAGTTGAGCCCTGGAGATAGAGAGCTCTTAAGATAGCCACTCCACTCCAGCTTGGGTGACAGAGCAAGACTCTTGTCTCAAAAATAAATAAATAAAATTTAAAAAATATTTTTATTTATTTTTTTTTTTTTGAGTCGGAGTTTCGCTCTTGTGACCCAGGCTGGAGTGCAATGGCGCGATCTCGGCTCACCGCAACCTCCGCCTTCTGGGTTCAGGCAATTCTCCTGCCTCAACCTCCTGAGTAGCTGGGATTACAGGCACGCGCCACCATGCCCAGCTAATTTTTTGTATTTTTAGTAGAGACGGGGTTTCACCATGTTGACCAGGATGGTCTCGATCTCTTGACCTCATGATCCACCCGCCTCGG